CCCATATACAGATTGAGTACAGAAAATCAATCAGAAAATAAGTAGGAGATTCCTGCCAGCATTGATTACCCTGAAACAGGGGATAGACTGTGCAGGTCGTCGAAATGAAACTTCTGAAAATAAGTGGTGCAGGCAGCCTTGCCTGCTTCGAACGCCCTGAGGTCCAGGGGCTTAACTGAGCAGAGTTTTTAGAGAATCAATTGAGAGAAAAGAGCCTGCTGAAGAACTGCTGGGAGTACGACCTCTTCACCTGTTTACCAGGCGCTGAGTTTCTGGTACTGACATCCAAGTCTTCTCCCTGAAGGCCGCGTCACCCTGTACCAGACTGTGTTTCTGCTGCAGGAGCAGTTGTTTCCTGTGCCTGACAGGACTGGGGCCCGGGAAGAACCACTGGGGGGCACCAGTGGTACTTTCCGGGCTTCTAGCAGAACCCTTTCTCTGTCATTCCATACCAGGCGTCGAGTTTCTGCTATTGTCGTCCAAGTCTTCTCCCTGAAGGCCGCCTCACCCTGTACCACCCTGTACCAGCCTGTGTTTCTGCTGCAGGAGATTTGTTATCTGTGTATGCCAAGACTGGGGCCCGAGAAGAACCTCTGGGGGCCACCAGTGGTACTTTCCGGTCTTCTAGCAGAACCCTTTCTCTGTCACTCTTTTGATGTCTTTTTATGCTGCGCCGGATGAGGCCGGGAAGGGAGGGAAGGAAGGATTAACCGACGGTTACAGGTACTTTCCAGGGATTGTGGGTGGGGGGGGAAAGGGTCGGGGAATTCTTCTGCAGGTCTCATAGGGATACTGGGGTCTATTGTCAGCCAATCCTTGAATCTGAGTCTGTAGTCCCTAGGCACTACCTCTCCCTGGCTGACCTCTCCCCCTCCCTCTTCATTCCAGGTCCCCGACCAGCACACCTCTGCCACCCACCCTTCTCTGTCACCACCTAGCCATTCTCTGGAAAACTGTAACAGGTGTGCCCGGATATCCTTAGGGCTGTGGAGGTTAGCAAGAGATTTCTTCATTGAGTTCCACCTCTGTGAGAGTTCCAATTGGAAGTGTCTTGAGTTGTTCCATCCTGTCCTCTCCTTCTACCTGAACTTGGTCCATAGTTAGCGTGCATCTTTGCCACCATAGGACCCATAGGATCGCTTTACGGGATAGATGAAACATGTTGGACACGAATATGTCATTTTGAAAGGGAGGATAATGGCCTGTTAGGATGGCACGCCAGTCCCATGGCCACACCTGCCCGGGAACCATTTGCTGCCACACCCTGTCCCACCACCTCCAAGTTAGTTTGGCTGAAGGGCATTGAAGGAATATGTGCTCAATGGTTTCCGGTCTTTTCCTGGCCGGAAAACTCATCAGACACAGAGAGCACCAGGGAAGGGCCCGGCCTTGCTGTTCTAGTTGTGTGTGGTCAATCAACCAGTTGTTGGTTGGCAGGCACCGATGCAAAATTTGCCATTGTAGCGATGTAATTTTTGCCGGTTTGCATTTGGTGTCGAGGCCTGGTAGAGAGATCTAGGGAATGGTCGAGGGTGGAAGGTATTCCAATGGTTAACAGTGAGCTGTTGCTAGGATGACGCTGGCTGGAGTTGGGGCGGGTCGCGGTTGGGGATGTGAGGCCTGGTAGAGCTTGGCATCTAGGATTGGGGGGTTGAGGCAATTGTAGGTCGGTCTGCTGAATAGCACTGGGGTAATGTGGTTTTCTTGATGTCGGCTCCCGAATAATCTTAGTTGATTCTCACTCCTTTTTTAAGATTGCTCTGGGATTCTTGGGGCTCCTAGCAACTCACTGTAGGCTGTTCTGATGTTGTTGTTATGAACTTGGTTGTCTGACAATTTTCACCACCACTCACACAGACAATCTCATGCACGCCCATACATGCATAAGAAGAAGGGGAGAGGATACTGAGTACACACTGTACATAGATGAGAATAAGCAGTGGAACATAACCATCCACAGGTGTGGAGAGGACACACAATGTTGCTCACTCTCTGACGAAACTTCCAACAACCAATCACATGAAGACACCAGCGAGGATAGCAATAGGATTCGCACTGATGATGAGCCAACTCAAACCAATCATCGTTACAGAGTTTGTTTCAATATCTTGCCACCCTTAGAACTTCACACACCACTCTTTACCCTACAGCGCAACCCTGAAATGGCCTCTCAGAGGCCAGCGCCAACCGCCCAAATGGAGAAAATCTCTTGCGATGAAGCCTTCAGCGTCGATGAACACTCTGACGAAGAAGCTGGCAGCTATGGCTGCCACACCACTGATGAAGCCCTGACAACTCAAGAGGGGAGGTGGACGACAGTGGTCCACCCACGAATACTCAATGAAGAGCCTCAGCATAGCCCCGCCAGACGCAGATACCCTTAGGAGCAGATGCTTTGCGGATGCCCCAGCTATGGCAACCTCCAGAAGGCTGGCTATGGCTGCCACACCACGGCGAGGGTTTCAGGATGCCGCCTGCATACCATCACCTCCACCAAACTTCCTTGGCTCCCCAACGCTGTGTCCCGAAAATGAACAGCCAAAAGTCCCCAGACTACCGGCTCAGTCCTATTAATAGAGTAACCTACTCTAGACCTAGACCTACTGGGACCGGTACCATTTCAGTTTGGCCTGTTCGGCCTGGACCCTATCCGGCTATACCGCGTGAGACTTTTGCTACAGCCCAAGGCCCGCTGGGCCTGCTGTCCTAGTGATAGCCCGGTACTGCTAGAGGCAGTGAGGGTACTAGAGGAAATTCGGGGTACTACTGGGAGTATAATTTTCCCAGATTTACAGATTTGTCCCTCCTGGATTTCCCTCGGACTGAACTCACAGTTAGTCCCTGACACAAACAAAATTACGAATCTGACTCTGAGACACTACTATACAACCTCGCAGTCAGATCTCGGCAGCAGAAATCAGCAAGTCATTGGATTGTTATGTTCATGGATCTGAGGCTGTCCGACGCCAGAAAGACGCTGGCGGGTGCTGGGGTGTTGCACTGTAACCTGTTGATAGCAGGAGCATGAGGCCTTGTAGAGAGAATTGGGGATGCTTTGGGGTGGGCATTCCAAGGGACAACCAAGGGTTACTATCGGGATGACGTTGGCCGGAGCTGGGTTGAGTCGTGTTGCCTTGTAACCTACGAGGGTGGGGGTGTCAGGCCTGGGAGATCCCGACAGTGAATAAAACAGGGTTGGAGGGTCGTGGAGGGTTTTGTTTGGGGTCCCTGGGGGCTTTGAGTATTTTGAAAACTTCTGTGGTGCTCCGTCTGTGACTATCCCCATGTGTTTTCAGGATTTTTTAGCCGAAGCCGGGTAATTGCCCCGATATCTCAATCGTTCCGCAAACGTTTCCTAATATGTTTTCTGATGGGATGCTGGGCCCGGTTCCCAGCACGTGCTGCTCCCCACGAATACATTGGAGCGTTGTTTCAAAAAAAGAGGAGAGTGGGAGAAGTAGATGGTGGGATATCAAGCGTCCTACTAGTGAGGGGGCTAGCTCGTAGGATGGAAATAGGGTACAACAACAGCGGAGATGGTGGCTCTGCTGCAGTAAGTCTTGCCGGGGTGAGGTAAAGAGAATTGATGAGTGGTTTCTGAGTCGTTTTCTGAATTTTGCCTATTTCTGAAGTTTGTTGTAGTAATTTTCTAAGTAGCTCAAAATTTTCTTAGCCAAAGCCGGGTAATGGCTCCGGTATCTCAAACTTTCAAAATTCTATGTAATTTTCCGATTTTCAATTCCGAGAACAGGTGTAAGGATGACGGAATCCTTGGGAATCGCGTCCCAGAGACACCCTAACTCAGTTGGTACACCCCTAAACAGGGCGCGGCCAAGTGCTAATTTCCAGCCGTTTCGACCATACGGACAGCTCAGTCGGTACACCCATAAACCAAAAACCTTTCCCGGACGTGAAAAACCAATGCCCGACGGTTAACAGGCTGGGGGCAGCCTCGGCACTACCATCTTCCCCCGAACATAATGCACCCTAAACATGAATGTATACAAGCTATATTTCCGGCCATATACAGCCAAAATAAGGGTGCATTGTGTTCGGGGGAGGGCGGTAGCGGGACGAAATGGCTGGCAGCGCCAGCCAAATTCGATAGCGCGTCGGGTCTTTACCGCGCAGTCCGAATTTAGGCTCGGCACCCACAGCTGAGAATTCCTAGGGAACCAAATGAAAGTAGGCCTAGTTCAGTTGGTAAGGCACAGAAGTTGCAATCAGGAGGTCATGGGTTCAATCCACATTGGCCTCACATACGTGCCTGGGCAAGCTTGGGTGTTCTACAGCTAGAGATAACCCGTTGGCCCCCCAAGCCAGCATTGGCAGTACCTTGGTTGATGTTGTTGGTTGCTATGCAGGGACAATATTGGCCATTAGACACCGCCATGTGGGGTTTGGGGGGGGGTAGGGGGAGGTGCAGTGACTGGCCATTGCTTGGCGCTAGCACCTCCGATTTCCCCCATCGGCAATGCCTGCCCACGCAATGCCTGCCCACCCCTCGTGGCCGTGATGAGGGACTGGTACAGCCTTGCTCTCGCACCACCGCTGTGGTGCCAACCTACCCCGTGGGCTGGGGAGAGATCCGGGTTGGTTGGTGTTCCCCCGTACTATACATAGACTAGTGAGAGGATGAGATAGATGAGTACTAGCAAGAAAAATGAGATAGATGAGAGAAGAATATAGTCTTTTTAAAAATAAATAAATAAATAAATAAATAAATAAATAAATAAACAAATAAATAAAAATTCTGAATTACCGTGGGCCAGGCTGTCCTGAAAAGTAAAAAGCGCGTTTGGGCCGTTTACTGCAACCCCTGATTTCGCGGGAGATTCGTTCTGAAATGTACCCCTGATTTCACATTTAAAGGTTGCAGTTTACTTTTCACTCCACAACGCGTTTTTTTACTTTTCAGGGGTTGCAGTAAACGGCCGTTTACTTTTCGCCAAGCCTTAAATGTGAAAAGACGAAATTATGGCGGTGTATCTATCCAGATTTCGTGGGAGATTCGTTCTCATTTTGCACAGGCCCAGTATCCATAACGCCGCCTGCTTTCTCTCCCTTGACGCCTCTCGCTGCCGCGACGCATTGCTTCGATGTCGATTGGCGCCGTTCCGCCCCGTTTCGCTCACAGCCATCAGTAATCCAGGTACGTCCTCTCTGCTCCTCCTCTGGACGTCTTCTCCACGAATGACTTGCTTATTTAGGCTTTTGCCGACTTCCCGACGTCGTGATACTGCTCTCTCTCTTGAGGCCTGTATGGATGTCTGAAGTTCTCTTCAACCGTCTTCTCTAGCTCAGTCTTGCAGCCCTCTTCGTGTTCTGGCATCGTTCCTCGACATGTACAATTCTACAATTGCCCTTCGCTCTGATGTCATCTCTATTTTCCTCCTGCGCTTTTTGGTGGGCACTCCTCGTCTCCACGGTCTCCCCCCTCTGCTTGTGGTTTCTACATTCACATTTCCGCAATCTCCCTTACCTCTCCTGTTGTACTTCGGTGGCCACCGTGCCTCCTCCTCCTCTCCTCCTCTCCTCCTCTCCTCCTCCTCCCTCTCCCTGCCCGCTACTCCTTTTCCTGTCCTTGGCCCCTCAAAACTCCACATGTCCTTTTTGAGCTCCTTTTCTCCCTCCTCCGTCGTGTTCAAGATCATTTCTTCGTCTTCTTCTTCAGTTTCTGTAACGACAGGTGGATGCGGGGGAGAGCGGTATGCCCCTTGAGAAGTCCTGGAACGCAGCCAGGCGAAACTCGTCGGGAATGTGGGCGTGTCTGAGCTTTCTATGTCTGAGCAGTTTTTGAAAAAARAGTGATGATTTKTAAAAAAAAAAAAAAAAAAAAAGGAAGTGATGATTCCTTGTTGCTTGGACCAATCAGGCGATTGCCTTCGCTTCTGATCTAATCTGTTCTTCTTCTTCTTCTTCTTCTTCTTCTTCTTCTTCTTCTTCAGCGGCGGCCATATCTGCGATGGTGGACTTCATCGTCATCCTTTCTCTCACCACGTGTCCCGTTCTTCTCTTATTCGATTTATGCTCTTGCGCTCTTCTTCTTTCATGCTCTGGTCGATTTTTTTGTCCTTCTCTGCTCTCCCTCCTTACAGTTTCTTCTGTTCTCCTCCTCTCTCATTTCGTATTGGATTTCTCTTCTCTGTGCTTTGCTCCCCTCTCCTCTTCAGTCATGCCCTCCTGCTCATAGCAATCTTCACCCCATCTCGTCCTCATTTCCGTCTTTTTTTTTCTTCGTTTTTTCCCTCAACTGGTCTGGCACTACCTTAGTCATCCTCTACATGTATGTGATCATTCGCTTTGGTTCTTCTTGTGTTTCCCCTCCTCCTCCTCCTCCTCCTCCGCCTTCCTGCCTCTCTCACTCCATCGCGTTTGTCGTCGAAGTCGGTGCTGCATCCGGCGTTCCATGCTCTAATCTATGCCCGCCCGTCTTCACGCGCAGGCTCGGGCAATCAT